TGTAATTCGGTTTCGGTAACGTGTTTTACCCGCGGTAATAACATAGATTAAGAATATTTTTTTTCTACGTTAGATAGGTACTATTAACACAGACAATTAATTACTATACTAGGAAATAGCTAAGTAGATAAAGTGACAAGTACTAGATTTATTATTGTTTTTCTTTTAGGTCAAATTGTATTTAGGCTTTGAAAGTATAATCTGGGTGACTTGGTTGGTTGGCTTACGTCCAAAATATAAAAACTTTTACGTCTGCACTGCATTGCTTTATGTTGTTCTACATAATAAGACGTGCCTTAAGACAAAAACCAAAATTAGAAATATTACATGAAATATTGTCTCATTTTTAATTAAATATAATAGTTAATGAAGGCTTCGTAATGCCTCATAACAGGATTCTGCGTAATCCTTAACTTCCCAACATTATTTTTTTGCTGTCGAAAAAATTGTTTTTATAAGCTCTGGATTAAAGGTTTCTTTTTTTTTTTTTTTAAAAAAAGAAATATATTTTACTTTTATTAAAATATGTATATATTTAGCGACCTAGTTAAATAAATATATAATTACTGTAGATAAATAGACAGATACTTTTTATGGTTTCCTTCAAAAAATTACACTAGTAAACTTATTCTAAATACAAACAATTACAAGAAATGATCACATTCAGAAAACAATGGGCGGTCTTACCGCTGAAAGCGATCTCTTCTAGGCAACCTTAAAATATGGAGGAGATACATACTTTCTATGGAAGCCTAAGTTTATAGATATGTAACATATTGTTATTCTATGTGCGGATCTAAAACTAACACGAGTAACTACTATATTAATTACAATTCAACTTGCATATCTCCTAATTCTGACCCATATGAAGCAGAGACACATATATCTATTTACAAAATGATATAATGATTGATGATATATATATATATATATATATATATATATATATATATATATATATATATATATATATATATAGGTCCTCTAGATAACATAATTGAAATTATTATTTTAATCCCATTATTCATAAGATGTCAAACTGTAAACCTATTTTAGCTATTAAACTATTTTGTCTCTTTCTCTTGTGCTAAATTCCCAATTTGAAAGAAAGTGACAAAACAGTGTAATAGAAAGTAGGTTTTAGTTTTTATAAATAAGTATGTAAGTGTAAATGTTCAGGTCTAAAATTAACACTAGTAACATAAAAATATAAAAAAGTAACGTATCAAGTGTATTTATTAAAATTCCAACCACTAATCATAAATTAAGCCACCATTTACCACGGGAGACTGTACAAAAGTCGTTTGCTTGAACCGGTTCATTTGTCTTACTCGTTTTCTGTCCTGAAGCACCTGCGCTTGGTAGTGCAATTAAAGTGTATGAACGTCTAATACCTCTCACGAGGAAGGGAGGAATTGTTAGTAATGCAGAATACTAGCGATATACCTAGTCAGGTCGACCTCCACGTGGTCCCCCTGGAAACTATTGTGTTGACCTCCAAGCGTATTCATCAAAATAGGCTAACTGACCTGCCTTTTCATTCTCAGCTATCCCTCACTGGCGCCATGCCAATATTTACTGTTAGCGCAGGCGGGGTTAGAATTCCATTATCATCCATTAAAAAAATACCCCTCCTGGACGACATAGAGTATTCTGTGATGTCTATGGTGCTGTTCATGGCTATAGATGACAGTTACCATTTCCCATCACTTGGGTCGTTAGCTTGTTTGCAATTCTAAGTTGCATAAAAAACTACAAAATTCTTTCTGAACACTTACAGAAGAGTTAGGGTATATGTTAATCGAATTAAATACGCATTTGTATTCACATCGTATGACCCGTAGTATCATGGTAGTGTAATTTCTCGTCTGACACGCATTATCAAATTTCCATTACATGAAGCTCGCCTAATATACGACGTTCGTCCTCTTAAAAACTTTACCGGACGTGAGGTTCTGTTTTTGTATTTATTACTAAAACAGTTCGATGCACAGCATAACGGACTGTATTACGTTGGGATAGCGTCGTATCTGGCGACTGAGGTGTTACTCGAAAGTCTGAGGTGTCGTTTAGGGAGCTTACTCGGGTCGCGTTATTAGAGTCTTGTCCTTCTTTATTGGAATATACGAGGGGCTCGATGCCTCCCCCTCACCCAGATGGTGAGAGGCTGTGGTAGGTAAGGGTACGTTTTGAGCGAGAGCGGATGTATAAGCGTTTTATTGATTGACTAATATCCAAATAACAAGTTGTTGTAATTTTTTCACCATATAGTACATTTTTCTTTGGTTTAGTTACAGATTAATTTACAATAGCAAATAAGACCAGCGATAGTTTAATAAACAATTATTTAAAGTGAAATTTATTTATTCGATTATATGTACAATACATTAATAAATAAAAGTTAATATACAACTAAACAAGTTTATTGTTTCTAAATTAAATTTTAATTAATTGCTCGTAAATTTATTTAAAAAATAAAAAAAAATTCCAAAAAAAAGTCTATATATATGTATGTATAAAGGGATTTTTATGAACTTAAATTTGTTTTATATTCGTTTTTTGAAACGACAGAACTATATAAATTTAATTGTAATCTATACAATTAAATTAAGATTTTTTAACGATATCTAATTAAAATTAGATATCGTTAAAAAATTAACAACAGTAGGTAATACAGTTATTGAGAATAAATAATACATTGATTTATCAATGTTAACATTATATTTGAATAATTCTTTAAATTACACGATTATTTATTTTTTAAATTGACATTCAAAAGCCAAATCCGTCTATATTTTTTGTAACTACGCTACGCCATTATGTCTTTAATACTCGTACTGAATAGAATTTAGTATCCTTTGTTTTTACAGTTACTGGTTAGTTTTAGTTACGTATTGGTTCCACATTAATTTTTGAAGCTTTAAAAACATTGAAGCTGTCGAGTCCATTGTGGGGCAAAATTGTTTGTTACGAAGCAAAATATGTAGACACGCGTTTTCGTGTTCTAAATCCAAATATTTCATTTACGTCTCCGATATACCTTGTCGTTTATCGGTGTATTTAATCACAATTTAAAATCGCTGTTGCGAAGCAAAATGTCATCTTTTTTTTAAATCCGCTGATATTCGAACCTTACATACCTTGCCGATTCCTGACATGACGTCTAGATCGACAATGTCAGACTATTTCGATTTCCATAGCTTTTTATCTAGGTGAATTATAGATGGCGTTGTACTGTTATTCCAAAACATTATGTAGTTTATCATACATCATTAATCGTACAACTTCAGTTTTAAAAGAAAATTAAAAAAACAATTAAAACTAAATATCAAAATGAAACAAATCGGATTGGAAATTTAATTTAAAAAGATTTAAAAACTATTAAAAAAATAGGAGTTGAGTTAATGATACAAAGTTAGAAAAAACTGTCTTTAATTAAAGGGCCTAAAAATTTTTAAATTGTTAATTTTCTAATAAATTCGGGGCGTCTAATTCAGATGTACTACAGGCTTATGCAAGAACAAGTATGTTATTATATAACTATTTATGGTACCATTAGGCGACTCGTAAACGTGTTTGTCACCTGTGATATGTAGGAAAAATGTTCTTGTACTAATATTCGTCGGTTGTCATCCAATGTATTTTTTATTATATATGAAATTGTATTTTTCATAGTAATACGTTTCATAATATTGTTTGCTACGTAACCTAGCTACGGACACGCTACGGCGTTTGCTACGCATCGTCTACATTGTAGCTAGAATGTAGAGGCTAGTTTATTGTTCTACTTACTAGTAATACGAGAAGGTAGTAGTGGTAACCACCTTCCACTATCGTCCTTCTGATCGTAGATTTATTAGACGATTGAAAGGTTTAGAATTTCAATTTGACTATATTTCTTTTTTCAAGGATACAGATACGTAATATATACGTTTTTAATAAAAGGAGTTTCTTTTTACTATTTTCTTATACTTTCAGAATAATTCGACGTATATAAACTTGGTTAAAATTGTAGTTTGTCATCTAGGTAATCGTTTGTAATAAATAGGCTTTATATTATGTCTCTTAATTACAGTTTTAAAGTTATTTAAAACTAGATCCACAATATTCTTCGGTTATAAAATACTGTGCTATAATCCTTTTTAGATCACAGTAGTCATTAAATTGACTTGCAGTATGTTTCTACAGCAGCGTAGCCACAACTTTTCAATATATCTTTCTAGTTACGTGCGACACTAAACTAAATGCAGTTGTAGACATTTAGCTGACTTTATAGCGAATAGGTGTAAAACAATACAGCCATAAGTTTATATGCGTACACCATTACTAGATTTCTTCTTTTTTTTATAACAAAGGGGGTAATGTGTATGCGACTCACCTGATGGTAAGTGAGTACCACCGCCGTATGATAGGATAAGCACTCATACTCATAATATCAGAGGAATAACAGGTGTATTGTTGGCTAGTTTATCTATTTCCTTCGATCCTCGTTTTGACCTATTATATTGTATTTAATGAAATATTGTATGAAAATATTTAGTACACATATTATATTGTAAATATTTAAATTTAGAATGCAGAACTGTTGGTTTACAATAAGTATTTTTTTTTGCTACGCAAAAAAAAGGCAGCTTTAACAGACACAGAGTTAATAAGAAACTGTTACGGAAGCAAATTCCATACTCATAGATTATACAAAGAATTTTTTTTTATACAAATTAGAATGGCAAACAAGTTGACGGCCCACCTGATGGAAAGTGGTAACCGTCACCTATAAACATGAGCAGTAACATGGACATAACAGTTTACTATTTCGCCCATGATACCCCCATGCGTTGCCATTCCTGAGGACTCAGGTGTAAATACGGTTCAGAATTGGCGATATAATCGCGTAATATAGGATTTCTTCATATAGCATATATATACGAGTATTTCTAACATTAACTGGATTTTTTTATATTCTTAAACAGTTAAATATAAATTGTTTGTTTTTGTTACAGATGCCATCAGTATAGTTCCGTTTGAAACTCAAATCTAAGGTAAGAAAAGCTTATATATAAGCTTGAACTTTGTACTAATGTGAAGTGTATAATTATTTTATTTAATATTCTTTTATATTTATTTAATCAAATTTAAATGACGATTAATTAATTTAATCAATATTATTTTATATGTATAGTAATTATAAAATGATGTTTCATAGGAGTCCGTATAGATATATATGAATAAAGTTTGTTTTGATTGATTGATTATTTAAATTGTTAATTTTCTTACAAAACAGTTTATGGTGCTTAAAGATTTTTTTTGTCTAATAAATAAGATTCCTTTTTGCTATATGAGAAAATATTTACATTATAACGCCGGTAAAGCAAAACTCAATATAAATTAAAATTATAATTATTATTAATGCTAGTTAACAATAAGTATAAAATTTGTATACGAGTAAATTGGTCGATATTTCAATAATTCAACGCAGCAGTCATAATTGCACGGATAGATTAGTGCTACAAAAAGATATAAATTATTTCTGTGACAGATTAATTAAATTTTCCCGCCAAAATACCGTTCTCTCAGGTGTACACACTAATTGAGGTCGTGTTACGCCGCAAGATGGAGCCACGGACACCTGCGCCAATACTAGGTGTGCCAGAAATTCCATCTTTGTATTTACTTAGTAATTGTATCGATATATAAATACTTCAACGTGTTTCCAGTTTTATTGTTACATGTTATATGATTGTGTTGATGCTTTCTTAATAACTCTTTGCGTCATTTCTGTTGTTACGTAATCATAATAGTTGGTTTGTCGATTCTCTCCTCAAGATTAAAAAAAAATTAAAGTAAGATTCTTTTACTACTCTTTATTGCACAATAAAATTTCTAAAAATGGCGAGCTTAATGTCGTATGGCTTCACCGGCTTTACCATTAAGTAAAAACAGAAAGCGTTTGCATACTGACTTTTTTTGTCGTTTTTGAATTTTTGATTCTCCAATTTTCTGCCCTGATGTTCTATAGCATTGATAGATTCTTAGTTTTACGTATCGTAAACAATTTCTATTTCACCCTATATAAATATTATAATATATTTACATACGATGTCATTCTACTATATTGTACCTACGTGTTCAATACACTGGATCGTTCTTCTTACTTTGACGACGTAGCCCGAGGCACGTACACGCAGTACCCGACGATGCTGTTACGATAGCGAACTTTCCTTCTCGAGTTATATTTATAAATAATTCGAAATTATGGTGTTCCAAAATTTATTGCAAATGCTTTTAAAGGTTGATATCGAAAGAATAATAATGTTTATTTATTTATTTAAACTTTAATGCACAGTGAAACTATTTACATAAACATCAGACGGTGTTCTCTATCAGCCATTGCGCAAACCGAGAAATATATAGGCGGTGCATTATTGAATTGAAGGAATATAGAAATTAATACTTAATACAGTCATTTAGACTAATATAAATGTAACTATAATATGTTAAATAAATAAATATATTATCATACATAAATAGGTACATACATAGATAAGTACATAAATATTACTAAACAAACAATTTAACTATATTAGAACAACAAATGAAACAATCTATGACTCAAACTGAGTAACCAGTAAGATTAAGTTTAAAAGCAAAGTTAATATCTAAATTTTTAATATACGTGTTGATGCCGAAATATTTTTTTTTTTTGGACAATTTGTTAGTATTTTCGTAAGGGTTTAGTGTAGGAGAGGTTTAGTTTAAGGTACTCGCATCGTCAGTGTCTATGTAATCTATGCCCGTGCTTGAAGGTGCAATCATAGGTACTTACCGTATTAAAAAAGTTATGGTTCACAAGATGGAAAACAGATGTAACTGTAAAAGGCCATAGTTTAATTAAAAAAAAATGGTTTAATAGCTATCTTTGAGTACACAGCTATAATGATCCTTACTAATATTATAAATTTATTTTTATTTTTAAATGTTTATAATTTAGAATGGAAAATCTAAATGTTTTTCTTTTGTAAGATCTAAATAAGAGGTAATTTGACTGTAAATCAAGTAGGAATTTTGAAGGTTCTCTTTTTACCGGTAAAGATTTTTTTCTGACTCGATATTATAGTCACTAATTTTGACAAAATAGATCTCTTTATTTTATAGATTAAATTATAATAACATATCTTTTAGTTTTAGGAAAGTGGTCTCTTAAGGTGCGCAAAATAAGAGCTAGAATGGAGGTTTCAATTAAAAGAAAAACTACAGAGAATTTCTCACAAAAGTACTGTAAAAAAATACAAGTAAAGAAAGAACGGCCCTTCGTTGGCTTGGTCTAAATCCACTTTTAGAATCCGAAAGTAAATTAATGGTGAGTGAGATACACCCCGGTCCGAAGCTGGCCAGCTGGACTACTCATAAAGTAGGCTATCGAGCACGGGTGAACCAATTAATACAGTGAGCTATTGGAAATTATCCTCTGTGTAGTCGTAATGATGTCTTTAGTGCTAAAATGGAGCGCTCTGTTATTATTTGAAGATCTATTTCTAATAGAAAATGTTGTAAATATTATTTATTAGTAACTAGATTTTTGTCCGCAACTTCGTACGCGTGGATTTCAAAAATAGGAAAATCACAGAAGTAGGTCAATTCTAGATAGCGTATCGAAATAAAACATACACCACATTTTTATTATATATTATATATTCTTTATTGCACTAAAACATACAGTAACAACAATAAGTTAATAACAATGTTTTTAATGTCAATTTTTAGTTAGATCTTTAGGAACACAATTATGAAAATTACATGTAATTTGGTGTTATAGTTTTTGTTTGATGCCGTTACAAACATATGGACAAATAGATACAAAAAAATATTTGAAATTTCTCACATAAATTTTTATTAAGTATCTTCTATGTACAGACATCGTTCAGTTATAATTTTATTATATTGGTGACATTATAAATAATGGCTCTTATAATGGTCTTATCGAAATACAATATATGGACACACAGACACAAAAGTGGAACATTCGGAAATTATACCAATGTTTATCGTATGTTTACGTTATGTTTGTTGATATATATATATACATCATTGTAGCCCGCGGTTTCACTCACATTGATTATATAGTACTAGCGACCCGTCCGGGCTTCGCACGGGTGGACATTTTTACAACATTTTAAAAAGTGGTTATTGTAACATAACGATAATAGTTGGACAAATAGTATCATGAAGTTTTTTGTGGTTATTGATATTTTCTTCAATATTGTAGAACATACTTTTGTTCTATCACCAATAGTTTCCACAGCGCACGCAATGAAAGATATAGCATTTTTTTACACCTTGAGTTACGTTGCTAACGTTTTAGTAAGGATCCCTAATCTTATCTAGCAATAAACATAGCCTATGTTACTCAGGGTAGCTTTCTAATGGTGAAAAAATTTTTGAAATCGGCAAAGTAGTTTTTGTGTTTATTCATTACAAACATACATACACACAAAAATACAAATCTTTCCTCTTTATAATATTAGTATTAGTATAGTATATAATAGAAAACTATTCTAGGTGGTTATCTAGAACATGGTTCATTTGTATATTAAATGTTATGTAAATCAGGTAGAGGGATAGATACTCTTACAATTTTGGAAGTAGTTCATTATTTCCATTGCAGAATGTTCAATGGGATTTGTTTATTAATTTTGATTCATCAAATCTAACTTATAATTCGATAGAATAAATAAATAGCTCAAAATATGCATTTAATGGTTACAAAACTATCGTTAAAAAGTCCCAATTGCCAGAAGGCATCCAGTATCTTTTCAGAAATTAAAATGTATCTTCTAATATACGTGCATAAATAAAAATGAATATCCGAATGTAAGCGTAAAAATAAAATGGCTAGTCCGAATTAGCGATTTTTTTATGTATTTTTTGGGGTGTGCGACAAAAAGAAGAGAAAAATTGTAATAATTGTCCGGAAAATAAATATTGAAATACACCTGCGTAAATGAAGCTGCGTTTTATTCCTTTGTAGCTTGGTTGGGATCAGTGACGCAAAGAGCTGTGACGACAGCGGAGCTTTTTATTACATTGCTCGTTATTTATTTTTGACTATGGGAAATAGATGTTAGACATATATGTTTAGCATTTATAACAAATTTATAACTCTATATATATGTTATAGCTATAAATTTGTTATAATATGATGTAATTGAATGAACAATATCTTCCACATTTACGTTTATGTCGCTAGTGATGCGATGTATATACGTGGAATAGCTCCGTGGGTGGTCCCTTTATTACGCCATCTTGAAAATACGTTATTTTCATTAAAACTGCGCAGCAGATGATAAATTCATTGTATATGCGTTTATAGGTGATCGGTTTTTCGTAACTGTCTTCATTCTTCAGCATCCAAATTTGATGAAATCAAATGTTCCTAGATTTTTTGTTTGTACGCTATATGTATATTTATTTATTTACCTCTTTATTGCACCATTAACAAAAATACACTATGACAATGGAACAATTTAAGTGAAATGCAGTAACATAAATACAGATTGAAAGATACACATAAAGGTGCAAAAGGCGGTCTTATTGCTAGAGCAATGTATATATACGAGTATTTATAATATATTTATTTATATACTTTTGTATATTTACATTTATATGTTATGTAGAACTCATTTGAGCAGTTTACTCAATTCTTTGTTTGACTATGGTTGATTGGTAGATAGTATGATTACGATAGTGTAACACTTTGATCGATTTCCACCAAACATACATGATGTATATTTGGAGTTATATTATTATATACATCATGTAATATTCGATATATTACTTGAGAGATTTCGTAGACATGCATGGACATTTATAAGCGTTTCCTTTTAATTTCACATATCTATAGTTTGCTTTCCTGTCATTATTGAATGATCTGCTTCAACTAGGTACAGCATGGGGTTCTTTAAAAATGGGATAAAGAGGTTTTAAGGTCGACAACGCGCGCGTAATACTCCGTCAAGTGAGTTGTACGAGGTTTGTCGGAAAG